AACCACAACATATACAGGGTGCCCTATAAAGAATGACACATAGAACAACTGACAAATCTATGATTAGGCATAATAAGACAATTAAATTAATAGTGGCTACAATTTTTTTTATTATTCAGTTACAAAATCAGTTAAAAAAAACACATTCATCGTTTCTAAATTTTACGCCACTGTCCAAAAATGTTTTTGGAGTACTTTTAATTTTTTTGATGATTTTTAAATAAATTATGTACCATTTTTTTAATGTAAGCATGTTTCGTTTAATCGATTTATTTTTAATCAGAGAATCTTTAGTTGTTCTGTGTTCCATTTTGGGACACCCTGTATAAAAGTCAGAAGGTTCGACCGAAAGTCATTTGCCATAAGGAAAGAGGAAAATTACTTTTCAAAATAAAAGTAAGTGGAAATAATTTTGAATAATTATTAAAAAATAGAGTAGCACCTTTTTAAAACAAAAAAAATTAAAGAAAAATTAACAAAATTTGGTGGAGGAACTGAAACTCCGCCATATTCTCTAAAATTATTAAGAATTTCAACTGCAAGTATAATTGAGGAAATTCTTGCACGTTTATGTGTCGTCAGTTTTAAAGTTATAAAATGTACAATGCAGATTTTATATTATTTAAAAAGAAAGTAATAATTAGTAATTATTTATGGGTTAAGGTATATTATTTAATTCAAGAAAATTAGAATTTTCGTCAATTTTGGATTTTAAAAAATTCATAACAATTAAAAGGTTAAAGATACGATGATGGGCGTAAAGACTTTTTTTATTCGAAATATCCTAAAGAATATAAAAAAAATAATTCATTGCAAAAATGCATTTTTTTTTGGCTTAGTTAATTTTTCGTTGTTTAAACAATAACGTCAACAAATATCGAGTGTCATCTTACACTTTTATAATCAGGAAAGCCTTCGGGACATTTAAAAAAAAATTACGAATTGAAACAATTTTGCAAACGAATGCGCCAGTATGCTCTGATCTATATTATTCGTCGACAACACATTGTGGACTGGTTTATGTATGGTTTCAAGATTGTATAGTTTAAGCAAACAAATACACGATGAAAGAAAAAGATAGGGTTTTGCTATTTTAAAAATTTTTAAACTGTCGTCCCCTTGTGTTTTTTTAAAAATAATTTTAACTTTTAACTGCACCCGAAGATGGAAAATAAATTTCCGAATCATATGTAGTGCTAAACATTTGAAAATAAAAAGAATGACCGATTAAACATAGGAAATTTTTATTTAATAATTTATGGTTATAACTAACAGCGCTCTACCTAAAGTGGCGCTAAGACATCCAAATTCTGTATAGAAAACGATATTACTAATAAAACAACAAACAGTATTCATACGTTACCGGCTAAATCTAAAAACAAACTTAAAAAGTTTTCCTCTAAATAACTTATACTGCAAAAAAGAAAAGCTTTCACTTTTCTTCAACTTTCCTCGATGTAGTTTAGCCACTCAGAACGCCATCAAATTTTCATGCGACATGTAATGCTAAAAGCACGTCACACGAAACTCGAGACATTTTTTTCGTTAGTTGTTTCGACCAAACGATTTCTATCTTGTTAGACGGGACAGCGAACAATGAATTTGCAAAAAAGTTTTCGAATCCGCCAGAACAGCGACTAAGTTTTGAAATTAAATTGGCAGGTTTAAATTGATATAGAAGTTTGATGTCATAAAACTTTTTTGTGTTAGAAGTTCAAAAAATCGGAAGTTGAAATAAACATTTTGCAGCAAACAAATTGATACAACCGCAAAAGTATTGTCTAAATGACTTAATCAGTAAATAAGTTAATAATAACAGAGGTCAAGTCGATGTAATATATGTTGAACTTCAAAAGAGATTGGATCAAATTGATCGCTTCTTGCTATTGAATACAATCTCAAACTTGTGTAAAGCTCTACCTGTATTTGTTAATTTCCTCATTGTATAATGAAAATCAGTTTTCACACGTTAAACCTTGTAAGAAGTTTCTTTTTGCCAATTTTTTTTTTGACATCTGTCAGTGTCAAAAAACTTTCAGTTAATGTCCATGGGAAGACAAAAATACTTTTATATGATAGTGCTGAACTCCAAGTTTTCAGTAACTCATTTTATTAATCTCTTCACAAAGTAGTCTGTATTATGCATTCGGTTTCGTCCATCCGGTGTCACATTTTTGTTCGCTGATGAGTCAAAAACAAAAAACGATATCAATTGGAAAATACAGGAAAAATCAAGCTCTATAAGGGGACGAAGTCTATTGATTTTGAAAAACCTGCATTAAGGGGCTGAATTAAAAAAAAATCATAAATCAAAAAAGAAAAGCGATATCAACATAAAATTTTTAGTAAAAATCAAGAGATATAATCAGATCTATTGATTTTGAAAAAAAATCTGAAATAAAATAGAGTTTTGAGGGCGTTAAAGGGGGGTTGAAATATTAAAAAGAAATCCTCTAACTCAAAAAAAAAGATATCAGCTTGCAATTTTTAGCAAAAATCAAGCCTTATAACTAGAAAGGCCCTTTAATTAAAACAAATCTAATTAAAAATGGGGAGTTTAGGGGGTTTGAAATCATAAAACAAAAATGCAAATCTATATCAAATTTCCAAATTTTTAATTAAAATAGTTTCATTATCTCTTTTTGCCTCGGATAGTATGCTGGGAATGATTCCTCGCAGACCAAAACAATCTAAGGAACTAATACTTAACCTAGAAGACAAGTTGTATACATTGTCGAAGAGAGGAATATAAATTGATTTTCTGTAATATTCCTCTTTACCTCCAGGGTAGTTTTCTCGTTTGGTCTGCCTACCTGCTAATCTAGGCAGCTTTATTTCAATATCTAATCCTGTTACTATTTCTGTAGCCTCCTTATAAATTTTGCCAAAATTCTGCTCACAATTTTTTCTTTTTTCATTGATTATTGACATCGTGTTGGACACAGTTGTAGAAGCCCCGTTAGCGTCAAGATTTGGCATTTATAGAAGTCCGCTGAGTGGTAATGTTATTTTTAATATATCAATGAGAGATAACATTGACAACAAAAACTCAGTCGTGCACAAAGAGTTTAGCAGAGTTGTTGCAATTGTAGAAGTCTTTGCATCTTTCCATACCGAGATTAACGTAAGTGCTTCAACTATTTGAGAAAACCCAGATCGAAATTGAATTACTCCTTCGTGACGCTCAACCCACCTTGTTTCGCATAGACTCGTTAATTGATGTCCTAATGTTGATTTCAAGACTTGGTCTCTCGTAGCCGACATATTAAAGAAGGAGACTACTGACTTCATTACTCCAACTGCATTTCTGATGCAAATAACATTTACTGAAGTCGAAAGAGAGTTATTTAGGGCATGATTTATGCAAGGGCATCTACATGCATTTTTCGCTTTTTTCTGTATTTCACACACTGCTCCCACTGCTTCAGACGACATTACACTGCAACTGTCAGTATCAATTCCCACACAGTTGCTTAACTCTAGACAGTTCCTGCAATATATTAACAACAATTTTTCCTAGAGCATCTCCAGTTAGTCGCTGTTCACCAAGCGTATTATTATCTGGACTGACGGTTTTAATTTTTTCATATGCGTCAATAGATTTGACAAAGTTTTCATGAATGTTGTTTTTGTATACATATCTCAAATTTAAAAAAAGTTGTTCCGTGTGGAAAACATCTGTAGGTTCATCAAATAACACTGAATAATATTTTGCCTCCCGAACTTGATTTAGTACGGTTTCTAATATTTCGTCACCACAACATTTTATCCATATATTTTGGGTGTTTTTTCCTATATACGTTGCCCTTGAAGAGGCTGTAGCTAAATGATGTTTTAGATTTGTATCTCCTGAAGAAATTCTAAATCTCAATAACTCTCTAAAATTGCCCTCATTACTGGGCCCAGTCTCTTCGTCCAGGTAGCCTTCATCTCGGTGGCCTCTTAGAGGAATGTTTTGTCAACCTAAGAACAGTATTGATTCTATTATTGGGCGTAATCTCTGTTTATTTTCTTTTACCTGTTTTAGCCTTTGAATACATATCTGATTTTCAACTGAATTCTCCGGGTTATGGTAGGTTTGTAGGAAATCCATGCCAGCCTGAACACATATTTTGAGGTAAGCTCTGTTTTCATGTGACTGAATGAATCCGTCTTTGCCCAATAGTTTTGCAAATGAAGTTAGCGGACTACTTACAAACTTTTGGACTCCCACTCCTTTGTTATGCTCACACTTTTCATCAGAAAATAAAACGCAGAATTTACAAAGCAAACCCTTCCTAATGTGGGAAACAACAGCCGATTCCGGTTTTTTAAGTGCTGGTGACCTAAATACCGTTTTATTTCTTTGCCATTCTTTTTGTGAAGAGAATATGGGAATTCGTATGATTCTGATGGCTCCCATGGTCGTTCCAGAATTTGACACTTTGTAAAGTCATCAATCTTTTTATTTATAAAAAGACCTATATCGTTACTGCTGCGCATTTACGCTGCTGACAAGGTTGTCTCTTCTTTATTATAGGCTTTGCATCGCTGAGATCATCATCAAGTTTAACATCAGTGGTAGAATTCTCATAATCTTTACATGTATTAGTTCTTTTATTAGGTGGTTCAATCGTATCTTCAGTTTTTTTGTCTACTCTTTGAAAATATGAAGTAATTGGTTTGAACCGTTTTCGGTTATCTTGAGATGCCTGAAATAATTAGCAGAATATAGAAACCTGTTCTATAAAACCTATCATATTCCTATTCGTCATTTCCAAAAAATATATTTTTTTATTTGTTATTTATTCCGCTTTTCCCCATTTTCTCGAGAAGAGTAACTACTATATGCAAATAGAGTAGTATACAGTGAGGACGTAAATTGTGCCTCCCTCTTAACTTCTAAATGGAATAAGATAGAGACATGAAAATAAAACGAGGTGAAATTAGAGAGGTATGATGTTTGTTATAACGAGATGCACTTACATAAGACGTAAGATAGAGGCGTTACTATATTTAAATTTTCTAATTCATTTTCATTTGAAAGATATTGTCATTATATTTACGTCCATGCAAACAGTTTTAAATTTTATGCTTTTACAGAAATTACAATAAATAAATTAATAAAGTGAGTTAAATTCTTGGTATCCCTCTTAATTTCTATTATTGTTTATTGAAACGCTTTTAACAAATTAAAGAAACACAATATTTACTAAAATAAATAAATTAAAAATATCAAAGCTGATTTAAAAACCACTTAACGTATTAAATGTTTTCCAATAAAAAAGCCTATTAAAAAATTCGCTTGTAACATTATCTAGCATTTCTACGGTTACCAAGAATCTAACTTACTTCATTAATTTAATTAATGTATCTAATTTCTGTATAAATATAAAAACCTAAAAATATTTGTATATGTACGTAAAGATAATGAAAATATCTTTCCATTAGAAAATTTCAAATTAGTAACGTCTCTATCTCACGTCTCATGAAAAGACCGTCTCTTAGAAACCCCCTTTCTAACAAAAAAAAGGAAGGGGGGGGGACATGGCCCACCCCCTGGAGCCGCCCTTGACTCATTGTGAAGTACTCATGAGTACTTCAATCAGTACTCTGCCCAGCTCTGAACACGACATGTCACATGATAACAGATTTAAAAACTTTCGTAGAGTAATTAATTAGAAATAAATGTGTAATCGGAAGTAACAATAAGTGATTATTTTATCCAGTATTGTAACTGTAACGGCAGGCACATTTGAAATATTTTTGTGGATCATGCAAACAGTCTCAGGAAGAAATAAACCAGTTATAGTCAATATTATACATACAGAGGTTTACAATGGTTACTGTCATCAGCTTTGGCTATGAATCTTGAGTCAACTAAATGCAGGTCGTGACACATAGCATGTTTTAGATTATTCGTATATCTTCCAAACCAAAGCAAATAATGTAATTTTTTTAAGATACTGATTTAGGTTTAATTAGTTACAGTAGTTTAAGCGTGATAAGTTGCCAGTGTTGCCACTTGTTTCCGTGAATACTGAGAATTGTATACCAGATGTAATTATTAAAATATATGTCAAATAAAATATATTATGTGACATATTTATTCCTATATAAAATTACAATGTAACTGTAATTTTACCACAATATGTTTTGTAAATTTACCGTGTAAATAGTATTTACATTATCAGATGTCTTTAATAGATTTACCTAATGTATTTGGTAAAGTCAACATAATATATATTGAACATTTACAGATTTTTTCAATGTATTATTTAGGATATTATATTATCTAGAATATTACCTTTTGCATTACTGTTGGGCGCGTCTATGTTTAAGGCCTACTAGAAAGAATCTAATATGATTTCATGCTGTGGGAAACAGACCATTTCTATTCTATTTCTCGTGGAAAGGCATTTCTTGGCGATTTGGGGCGTATCAAATTTATCGGAATATTCCATTTTTCTTCAGCTGTTATCGTGAAATATGGAAATAAGAAATGCGTTGACATTTTCTATTCATCCAGGAGTATGAACTGATACGTTAGAATATATAGAAATAAATTTTATTTGTATTTTATGTTTCGTGTGAGAAAAGAAATGGCTTCCCGTGTGGACGTTAGATATTGCTTAGGTGTATCGTATAAACTAGGGAAAGTCTATTGTAATACGTGAGTTATAAGATTTTTATCTTTTAGTTGCTTTTAAAACTAGTGAGATTCTAATATTAGCATTTTTTTCGTTAAGGGGGGGGGTATAGTTAATTCGGGCAAAAAGGCACATTTTTGTGAATTTTTTTGACGACATAGTTAAAAATCTATTTATTTAAACTAATGGTACATTAAAATATAACATTCAAAGAATATTGTGTCAAATTTTCATGTAGAAATTTAAAAAAATACAGAAATGGTAGCAATTATTCGGAAGCGTCTCGGAAAAAAGTTCTCTTGTTAGATAATCCTTTTCCCCAGGTAATGCTAGGAGGGTTTTTCGAAATTTCAATTTTTCACTTTTTGGAAACACCTTGAAGTAAAAAACGCGATTCTTGTGAAAAAAATAGGTTAATCTGTTATTATAAAATAAAACAATATTAACAAATTTAAAAAAAAACTCTCCAGCGTTACCTTGGAAATTATGTACAGAAATAAAGTTTAAAATTTCAAAAGGATAGGTGCAGTAGTAGTTTTGAAGTTATGAGGGGCACCGACTTTGGCCACATGAGTTGTGGGAAAAAGCTTTAAAGTTTTGAACACTACAAAATTTGGAATAAAACGTTCATAAGCGAGTTTTATCTCACACTGAATCATCGATCCCAGGTCCATAAAGGATGTTGCTATTATTCATGATGTCTAAAGCATCTTTTTGCTTCTGTCTACGACGATTCCTATGTCTTGCATGTAGGTAAGTAAAGCAAGAGAACATGCCAGGCCAATGTTACACTAAATTATATACAGTACAGTACACGTTTGTACTTGTGTTAAAATTTCTATAAAGAATGATAGGAGGTAAGGTTAGGGATCATATAGTGAGCGAAACAGCTGCCAGGCAAGGGCGGCTATGAGACGAATTTTCGGTGGGGGCCATTGCCTTTAGCCATTCTCTTTTTAGCATGTTTTTTTGAATAAAATGTTTATAAATCGTAATAATTTTTATCTCAGTTTGTAGTCCCCTCCCCTGGAGCCGCACTCGCTGTCAGGTAACAATAGCGCACTCGAGCCGGGCAGGTATTTTTTGATGCGCTGAGTCATGTATGCGGCGCGGTTACTCAAGCCGCTGTATCTTCGTTAGTTTTGCTCCAATTCATCTTAAATTTTTACAAAATATTCTTGAAAGGTTTTCCATTCACAAAATTGAATATATAAAAAAAATGCGAAAAAGAAGTTTAAAAACTTTAGTCCCCCCTTAATATTCAGGGTCTGTTAATCATATCACAAACAGGCTGTTGACCAGCCCCACGAAAGGATAGTAAAGTTTTGCTGCAGCGTGCTCGGTCTTAAATAATAACTTTATTCATACACGCCACAATGGCCTAACTAATGCTCTAATTATTAGGCATTTACTTCGGTTTTAATTAGTTTTGTAAGTCTCGTATGAGTTTCATAGATAGCAGTTGTGTTGCACACTGAATTTTAATGAATTTGCATAGCCGGGTCTTCATATCCGAGAAACTGTTAGTTATATACATCTTATCAGAAATTGTATAACAATAAATGTTCAACAAAGTTTAGTGAATATTTACAAGTATGTAAATATACCCTGTTGTGGTACATATACGCAAACAATGTTTAAACTAAACTTGTATGAATTTTTAAGAAGCAGAATTTCGTTTGTAGAATATTTTTTTAATTTTTAAGAAATATTACTAAATGGCAAAGCTTCAAATGTTACTGTTACTTCTTAACTATACTCTGTTTTTAAACTAGGGGCTGCGAATTAAAAAGACGCATTTAAATAGGAAAAATTAACTAGATTAATTAATAAGATCGTGTTCAAAATCTACGAAATAGTTGCCATTATCAACCATAGTCGGCGAACGACCAATGAGGGGTTTAGAAACGAATATATGTCACAGGATTCAATTTTTTATTGGTCCTAGACAACGGTAATAAATTTCACATTACTTCGATCTGAAACGTGAGCCTAAATCGAACTATCAAATGAAATTCAATGTTGCCGTTGATTTGTTGACGTTAGAGCTTATCAGAAAATATTTTTCTTGCTTTTGAAATTGAC